TTCCGAGCGTGCAGCTGCTGTAGCAGAGATGCTAACGTGCACTCAGCTACGAGATTTCCATTATCTTCCCACTACTTTGTTGTATTCATGGACCTGTTTGAGAAAAATTTATGCACGTCGCTTTTACACTGCCAAGACAGTTTGTGATGGTGCGGGGGGGTGGTAATTTATTTGTACCTTGCACTTTCTTTCATGCTGTTGCAAGAACTTCTTTCAGCATTTGATCAGAAAATTAAATTTGGGTTTAAAGAGATAGTCAGGGTTGCTAGGACAACATATTAACCTCCCTTCTTTATTTTCTCAGCGCTGTATCCAAGGTTGGTGTAACTCGTCGTGCTGTATTCGGTCTGTGGTGGTGTTCTCAGGGTGCGGGAGGGAAGGTGTTTCGAAAGCAATGTGCCAAACATGCTTTTCCTCAACAAATAGTCAGATGAAAGGGTAACGTCCCGCCGGGCGTTCCCGGCCTTGCCTCGCCGGCCGGCGGGACTAGGAAAGGAAGGAGCCAACAGCCCTCTTCTGGGAATTTCGTGAGAGTATCTGTGTGCAGTCGCGGGGACCGAGAGAGGGATGTGGGAGGTTGCAGACAGCGTTTGCACGAGTGATTAATGGCTGGGAGACTCCGGGTGTAGCTGAACGATTTGGACACTTTAAGGAGCCTGGGGTTTCGATAACATGTAAACAGTGGTTTTTTGTGCATATAGATTCTTCCACATCTAAGGCAAAAAGTCAGAATTTCAATGATTCCTAGAGAATCGTCATGAATAAAAGAGGAGAAAAATAGCTGAAAATATGTAGAATACATTTTTCCTGGCTTTTCCCCAAACCTTCGGCGTGCAGCTCCCCTGTCAAAATTGACAGCCGCATTACATTTATGCAGCTTTCAGGCTCAGATCTTTAAAGTTGTTTAAACATCCATATGGCTTTTGTCCAAAACTTATCGATTGCTGTCTTGGTTACTTCATCCAGATTCGTTCCGATAAGGACAAAGAGATCCATATCAGATACAGCATCACTGGCGTGGGAGCCGACCAGCCGCCGATGGAAGTCTTCAGCATTGACCCCGTGTCTGGCAGGATGTATGTGACGCGCCCGATGGACAGAGAGGAAAGAGCTTCCTACCACGTAAGCCTTGAGTTTTGTCTGTGTTCACAAGCTCAAAGCAGAACTGGACCAGAATCGCTGGGTTCAGGAAGGGACGTGCAGCTTTGAGAAGACCGGGCGTTTTTGTTCGAAACCAGAGCCCATGTCCCGGTTCGGACTGGCCCCTGTCTCCCGGGGACGCGAGGAGCTGACTGCACGGAGGTGCTCGGGCTCAACTCGGAGCGCGAGTGTCAGTCTGACTCTGTCAGAGGAATTGTGGGGGGGGGGGGGAGAGGTTGGCTTTGTTTCCGCTCCCCTTTAGCGTAACCCGCCCTTGCTAAATCAGCCCAACCACTGCAAACATCATTAAACGGATGTCCTTTCTGGACACAAAGTCAGAGCCATTTGTTTAAAGTGGTGCAACTTCACACTGCTTATTAAATGCCTGCAAATTTGTGTGTGGACCGAACCCCCCAAAACCACGAGAAGCCAATCGCTACATTAGCGTGTCTTGGGAAATTACTAATTTAAGAATCATTACTGCAGCTAAACATGCAATAATTGGCATAGTCATTTTTCATTTTAAATCACTAGGAGATGTTCAGGCAGTATGATGAGGGTGTGTCAGATAGGTTTTTAAATATGCAGATAGGCTAATATTAAATATGAGGAAATTAACTGAGATTAATTACACTCAAAAGCGGTGCCTCACGCTATCCTAGTTCATAAAATGCTCTACCTGCAGAATACTTGGAGCGTAATTGGCCATTATGTTTTGATATAAATCCTGGCCCCTGTATTGCACAGCGTAATTGCACAGCAGCTACAGTCCCACAAATTGCTAAAAAAATGTGTTGCACCTCGCGTGATGGCCCTGCGAAATTTCAGACGCTTCCTGCATCTACGCTTTAGTTCTCTCCTGGAGTGGTTGTGAAAGGTTGTTTCATGGATTGCTTTGTATCAGCATTAGCCACATCTATCGGCATCGTAATAGCCGTTCCCGGGGATGCGGTAATGTCAGTACGGGTCACTTCCACTGACACCGTATTCCGAACTGCGCCGTCGGAGATGCACATTCTGTCAGCTTTATCAGGTATCCAGTTAACCATGTTGACACAGCTTCTGGACAGGGGTGGAAGGATAAAGAAAATAGATTACCTCTTTAGTTGGGTGGAAAAAGAGATTTCCCCTGGGTAAAAGAAGATCTGAAGGAAAATTATTTTATCCTCTGAGAACAAGAACAACTATTTTGTTTGTTGTGCCTAGGAAAATATGAAGAGAGGTGGTTTTGAAAGAGGAATATTTGAGATACAGTGTGTGTCATCTCAGCATTGCTGATATTGTTTCAGCAGTGCCAGGTTATTGTAAGAGTGTAGTCAATAATGCAATACACAAGTTAACACTTCTGATGGAGACACTGTGATGTCTACTTTCAGACGCTCTTGCTCAAAAACATAAGATGGAAAAGGTTTTGTCCTCTATCATAATAAATCCTGTGCCCCCTAATAATGAACTTAACCTACCGGTTACAGTGAATTCAGTACACTGAATTCTCGCTGTGGCAAAGGTGACTGGGGAAGTCTGCCTCGTACACACCACAGCATTTCCAGCCTTTTCTGCTCCTTACGGAAACCTTGAACTAGTGACATCCACATGTCAATGAGCATATTCACACTCTGAAGGTTACAGGAAGATGTAGTTTATGGAGAGTGAATAACTGGTAAGTATGTTATGAGACCTTATAGACAGAATAGTGAGTGCTGGAAAGCCTTTGTTAGCAGAACAGTAGAAGGTGATGGAGAACATTTTAAGTCATGGCTGTAAACAACCTTTAGATCCTTCTGCCTCAATAGCAATGGACTGATGATTTATTGAACCATCAATTGTTCATTTAAAAACCCTTTCCAAAGCATTTATAAATACACCGTGTACAAAGCAATGACCACAACATAGTGTAGAAACTTAGAGTAGGAATGGGCCACCCTAGAAACTGGAAAAAAATGAGGCCAGCTTCCAGAAAGAAGATGCAGTCCAAAGTCTCGGCTGGTGCAAATTTCAGAGGAGTGGATGAATTTATGCCACTTCACATAGCCGAGTCTCTAATTGAAAAGAAGGGCAGACGTGGAGCCGGGCTTACACCGAGCGCTGGAAGAGCCGTGAGTGAGGTGTAGGCTTGGATCTGCGCTGCGCAGCTTGGCCATCTTCAAATTGGTTTGACATCTGCTGTAGAGTTTTCTTTAGCTCAGATGAGTAGCTTGACTCTTTGGCTGGGGCGAAGGACGGCGGCGGAGCTGCAGGGCACCAGCCCTGCTCGCGGGGCTTTTCTGCCCGGTGGGACGTGGGCTTCTTCCCCGCTCTGGGCTCGCTGCTGCGGCTGAAGAGGGGTGCATTTGTACAGCTGCAGGTTTTCTGCAGTCCTCAACTGAATGAAGTCTTTTCAGCATCTCTGTCACTGTCGAGTGTTGTCCTCGCTGCTTTCATTCCCAGGTAATCTAAAAACTAATTATAAAAAAAAAAGTAATAATTTGCAAGTGTTTGTGAGGCTGCGTATGAAGAGTTCTGTTTCATTAACTCCCACATTTTCAACACATATTTTCTTATGCATAATTATCCGTATTGCTTCCGGACTACCATTTTTAACATACTAGTGTTTTAACTCTCCCTGCATTTAGCAAGCCATTTGTCTGATGGAACCTACCTTTTTCCCTAAGGTGAGACAGGTTTTTTCTAATTAGATCAGGAGTTCTGCAGCAGAACTTCCCCTGTTTTCAAGATCATTCTTGAACTTTTAGGGGGGATCATTCCGAGCTTGATGAGTGCAGAGACGGACGTGCCTCTGGGACTGACGGTGTCTGCCCGGGCGCAGCGTGTGCCGGCACGCCTGCGTTCAGCTCCCGGCACGACTGGCAGTGGTGGGGATCGCAACTTCAGCTGATTTTGGCCTCATCTGTTTTCTCGTCTGCGCTACAAACCAGAGCGGGAACTCTCCAGGGACCTCGCAGCCATCCCAGACGCAGAGTCAGCTGCAAACATGAGCAGAGAAAAATGAGAAGGGCTTTGCAGCCACTGAGCCGACCCGGCGTTGTGGCGCAGTGCTGTGGGATGCTGTGGGAGCCGCTCCGGCGTCCGTAGTGCCCGTGTGCGGGGCCGCAGCGTTGGGCAGCACCGCGTCCCCCCTCCTTGCTGCCCGCTCGCCGCGGCAGGTCTGAGCTGTTGCCTCTCCCCTTGTCGTCAGCCCTTAATGTTTATTACATGCCAAATAAGTTTCAGCAGGTAGTAATATTTAATATGCATGAGTTCTCTTGGCCTTATTTAACTGCGTTCCCAAAGTCCCGCTTGTGCTGCTGACACAATTAGGGACTCTGAATGTCTTTTCTGATCCAGACGCCGGTTTCGCATCAAGCTGCGGTTGGGCCTGGCAATTACAAGGGGTAGCAAATTGGCAGGTTAGTTTTCCAAGACCTTTTTCAAGCTCAGTTTTCAAAAGACATCAACATAAGCGTGTCAGTAAGTAGTCATTGCTTATGATGCTCAAGTAATGTGCATTATGGGGACACTTGGAAGCAAGTCCTAACCCAGTCCCAGACGCGTGTGTTCCTTCAGCATCAGGCGGAGGAAATACTGTCTCAGAACCGACTGGAGCAGAGCAGGTGGGTGATAGTCTGAGGAGGAGTTCTTTGAAGTGCAAGGAGACAAAAAAGTTTACTGGAAATTAAGGGATACAAGAGCTAATTCCAGTATTCTGAACCAAGTCCTCATGAGTAATGCCAGCTATTTGTGTCACAATACTCTAATTTGAACTTTTAATCACAATTAAGAGCACACAAATTAGGCATGACATTGTATGCTTATTGCTTAAAGGCTCTGTCACTGATTGATAATGTATATTTGTATTAGTGGTATTAGTGCGTAAGTAATATTCATATTTAACACAATTCACTGTGTTGACTTTGACTAACTACCTTCAGATACCACCAGCCTCCAGTGTAATCAATAATCGTGATACTGAATCATTTGTATGCCAACAGCTACATTCACACTAGAAGCTGTCAGTAGAAAAACCTCAGAGACCTGTGGTAGCTGCTACTGAATATGATAGCAGTGATTGTCATACTTTTAAGCAATATTTGTTAAAGAATATCGAGCCAGCTCCTTGGCTGCCGTACAGCAGAGCGATACACCAGTGTATGGGGATTACCCAGTTACCTGTATTAATTTTTCACAATCCTCTGCAAGATATTTAATCTAATATTATTTATTCCTTCTCTTCTCCTGTCATGTTCTCCCTCTTGGGGACAATGTAAATATTTCAAACCAACTTTGTAAATGTTTCTTAACTCTGTCTCCAGCTAGCCACCAGTTCCATCTGAATACTCGTGCATGACCTGTGTCTGGCGAGTGTCCCGTGGCCCAGGTTGTGCTCACCAGCCTTTTCCCTGGTGGTTTTTCCAGCTCTAAATGATGTGTGTGTCTCACGGAGCACAGCCATCACCTTTTGTGCCTTGCCCAGTGCCGCAAAGCGCTGGCATGCGTCTGCTCTTCACCCCGTCCATCACTCTGCCACCAAAACACGCGCTTGGTCGCGGGTGGGAGCAGATGGCAGCCGGAGCTGCGCAGCACCGCGTTAGACTCAGACTGTGCCTCAAACAAACGAGCCCTGTCGGCATCTGAAGAACGACTCCAGAGCAAAGCGTGTTGTCCAGCTCGGGGATGACTCGTTAATACAAAGGGTTGGGCAGGAGAAAAAGGGAGAAGATGAAGGAAGGAAGGGAATTGCAGGATCGGATCAGCCTGGGAGATACAACTAGTTTCCCAGTGGACAGATTGCCCCACTGGAGTCCCTCCTTCCTTTGCTCTCTCCGCTGGGAATGGTCTCTAATGAGGAATGGTCTCTAACGAGGAAGAGCTCCCATTGAGCTGAGCTGAGATTCAACCCTCTGGCTCAAGCCTCTCTTCTCCTTCTGCCGCGGTTGGCACCGGCCCCGGGGGAGCAGCGCGTTGTGGAAGGATACGGAGGCGTTAGCACATGAGAATGGTTGAAAGAATACAAATAGAGAAAATTCATGCAGGCAGGCACAAGAGGGAAAAAAGAAGAAAATTTTATTGAACTCGGGCAAAAAAGGATCAGGAGAGAGAAGAGGGGTGTGCAGAAGGGGCAGCAGTAACAACTGTGTCAGCGAGCAGAAGAGCAGCTATGGCCACCCAGGTACCAGCACGACCAGGACAGAAAGGCGCAGGGTTTGCTGCGCGGGGCCTGGGGAGCTGGTGCCATCCTGCTGGCTGCCCAAAAGCCATTAGTCACCGGTGCCCGTGTCCCCAGGCAGTGTCCTCCCTCCCATAGCTTGGGGACAAGTGTCACCTCTGTCCTGAGCACAACACCCGTAGGCTGGTGACACTAGTGCACATCGCCGCAGGTTTGATGAGATTCATAGGCTCATAGAATCATAGAATGGTTTGGGTTGGAAGGGACCTTCAAGATCATCTCGTTCCACCCCCCTGCCCTGGGCAGGGATACCTCCCCCCAGCCCAGGTTGCCCACGGCCACATCCAGCCTGGCCTTGAACACCTCCAGGGATGGGGCAACCTGCGCCAGGGGCTCACCGCCCACACAGGGAAACATTTCTTCCTCAGATCTCATCTCAATCTCCCCTCTTCCAGTCTGAAGCCATTCCCCCTCATCCTATCACTCCATGCCCTTGTCAAAAGTCCCTCCCCAGCTCTCCTGGAGCCCCTTTAGGCACTGGAGGGCCGCAATAAATTGTCCTCAAAGCCTTCTCTTCTCCAGGCTGAACACCCCCAACTCTCAGGCTGTCCTCCCAGCAGAGGGGCTCCAGCACTTGGAGCATCTTCGTGGCCCTGCAGAACCTGCACTCTTGATTATTGAATCTTTTTTTCCTTGAGTGCAGGCGGTGAGGCGTCTGTGGGTACATGTGCTTGGTGAGTGCAACAAGCAGATAGATGTGCATTGCTGAGAAATCCCTTACTCCTGGAGATTTCAGACAAAAGCTATCAAATGTAATTAAAAATTTGCAGGGGGAGAGTCAGATCTGAGGGGGAAGATACCAGCTTCTCTCTCTGCTTTATCTGTGAATGGAACCGTTTCCGCTGCTGGAAATGCAGCGAGAGCCCAGTGCTGCCTCAGTTTGAAGATAATAACTTTAATTTTAGCTCCGAATTACTTTTTTTTTTTTCCAAAGGCAGTCTGACCTCTGCCTGGTAAAGTTACTGAATTGCTACATCTGACGTGATGAAGGATAGCTCAACGGGTGGAAGTCAAAGCGGTTTGTACGCAGGCAAGAAATGCAGATATTAGGAGCGTTACGAGTCATGAAATACAAATGGTACACCCTGTGTGGGAAACGAAGCCGGGCTTCTTCAGTCTTGAATGAAAACGTGCTGCTTAACTCCCTTTTTTAAAAAAAAGTGTTTTTCTCCTAGCTCATTTCACATGGCCATTTGTTGTCTTGGCTTGATGATGCGTTAATCCAGCCCGCTCCCATAGCGTGCGGTTCCTTTGGTTAAGCGCGGGGCACCTGAGCACCGTACGCGAAGAAGAAAGTTGCATCAATCACTGCGTGGCGAGGGCAAGGACAGAAACCAGCGTTAATGCAATTAGCACATTTATTTGTCGTGCCCCAGAGGAGCTGGAGACCTCCTTGGCAGAGGAGCTGCCACCCCCGGCAGCAGAGCCCTCCATCCCTCTGCAGGTACAGCTGGCGTGTCCCCTGTCCCCAGCCCCGCTCTCCCCGCCAGCCCTCGCGCCACGCTGACGTCCTCGGGTGCCTTCGTTCCTCCCCCGCCAGCCCCGCACGGTGTCACGCAGCCGTGGCGGTGGTGCGGAGGGTCAGCGGTGGTCACAGGCGCTGACACGAAGAGGGGACGACAGGCGGAACCCGCAGCGCTCGTGCCCGGGCGATGCCTCTCCGCGCCGGGCAGCCCCTTCCGCGCTTCTCTGGGTTTTCCTCTGGAACCGCCATTCGGCGCACACACGTTCAGAGTACCCATCTGTTCCCTTTAATGAGAAAGCTATCCATTTTTTTCACCTGATTACTGATTGTTCCAGACTATTGTTGATTGCTTTGTTTTATTAATTACTCATTTTTGACATGCTGTATCTGTCCCTTTTGTTCAGAAAACAGATGCTCTTGTTTTCGAGCATTATTACTGATGGTTATTGCTAATAAGATAAAGCCGCAGTTCCAGTTTAACTGAGGACTTAACACCGTGGCTCTGGTTATTGTAATGCTTAATCGCTGGGTATTTTAGTCAAGCCTGAGAAAAATATTTCATTCTTAATGGCACAGGGGCTCCCGTCGCTTGAAGGAAAGGGACGTTTTTACGTCTTTTGGTGCATAGAGCAATGGCGTCAGTAGCTGTTGCTGTTCCTAGAGACCGTGATTAAACAAAGAATAAACAATACTAATGTTGTTCTGAAGTCTCTTCTCTTATTAATCCCTCTTATTGTGGGTAAGAAAGGCTGCAGGTTCCCATAAGAAACCTCTCAAGTCAAACTCATTTCCTCACTGTGTTTAGAACTAAGCAAAATTTGCTTTTGAGATTGTTAGGCAAGGTTCACCGCGTCTTAAAAATTAAAATATAGTGGTCTATTAGCAGTGAGGGGGACAGCATCAGTACAGAGGGGTTAAAGTGTTGCCACTGACAGCTGCTATTTTAAAATATTATTTCAATATTATGTTAAGCCTTGAAAAGCTGTCTGTGTGTGGAGTCTAGATGGAAACCACGCCACTGCTTTCTGCTGGAATTACATACCTGCTCGGTTCAATTCTGAGAAAGTATTTATGAGGTAAAGTCAATTCTTACAAAACGCGGTGTCTCATTCTGCAACAAATCCGATTGCTGATATTATGCTTTCATTGTGCTTATTCCCAGCTCCGGGCTCACGCGGTGGATATGAATGGAAACAAGGTGGAGAATCCCATTGACCTTTACATCTATGTGATTGATATGAATGACAACAGGCCGGAGTTTATAAACCAAGTCTATAATGGATCTGTTGATGAAGGCTCTAAACCAGGTACAGTTGAAAAAAAGTCCTCTGGTTATCACTAGCTTTCCAACATTAATCTGGCGTGGTGGCTTTGCCTCCTCTTCACATAGAGGGAACGTAGCAGAGGTTTTGCTGTTGCGGCTTCTTTGTTGGAGACTGATGGAGGTGAGAACAATGCAGCTGCCGTCTCCTTCTCTGGGTGCAGAGAAGGCACCGGCATGGGTTAGAGGGAACCCGGACCCTGCTGGTCCCTTCCTAGAGGTGGATTTGCAAAAGCCGCAGTTCTGTAGAGTAATTCTCTGTATTGCCGTTCTCACACGCTCGTCACACGTGCCCAGGGCGTTACTCCAACTGCGGAGTGTGGAGAGCCAGCCCGGCAGCGGCCTTTCACTGACCCTGAGGTACTCACTGTCTGCCGCCTCGGTATCTAACCCAGTCATTTACAAACTCCCTATCTGCCCCCCCGTCGGACTCCAGTAAAGTCTGTCTCAAAATGGGAAGAAAATACTTCCTTACTCAGGGCCTGACACAAACCTACTTCAGCGGGAGTATTCCCACTGAAATTGCTGGCCCATCCTCCGTCCCCAGGGACTTTTCTTACAGAGGGTGAAATGGGGAAAAACTCAAAGTAGAATTTCAGGAAATTAATGGGTGAAAAATGAGCGAGGGTGTAAGCTGTATGCAGAATATACAAGTGATGGTTTTTATGTGAACTTGTTTGTATGCTTGGAAAAATATAGTTAGGGTCTTTAGTGTTTTCTTTTCAACTATATCGTTGATTTATTATTTAAGAGTGGCATAACCATGCAGTTTCCAGTACTATAGTATGGTTGCTTTAGCTTGTTGCTGAACTCAACTAACAGGAGTGTATTCATTTTTTAAGCAGAAATTATGTTGCGAAATCTGTCACCAGAACTTTTATAAGTCTCCTGAAATCTAAGTGAGGGGGTTGGAACTAGATGATCTTGGAGGTCCCTTCCGACCTGAACCGTTCTATGATTGTATGAGATACTCCCAACAGGAATTTTATCCTCAGTTGTTTGCCAGCCGAGGGGTTAAAAACCGTGTGACTTTGTTGTGTGTCAGCGAACATTTATCATGGCTTCTCCGCTGCCTGAGGTGTCACAGGAAAGTCTCCGGTGGCCACTATTTTTAACGAGGTGATTCGCAGTCGTGATTGATTGTCTTTCAGCACTGTGAGGAATGGGCTGCTATGGTGACATGTAGTTGGGGACAGAATGTGACATTATTTTTGAGGAGATAATGGGTACAGCTCCCTTCCTGATACGCTTTGGGTGGTGATGTACCGGCTTCACAGTGCTGATCCCGGTCCTGCTCAGCAGAGGGGACACGAGAAGTCCCTGAGCTGGTGGCTCTAATGACATCTTCCCAGAGGATTTTCCAGCTTTTGTTTGAAGGCCGCTTTGGGGCATATCAAAGTTTGAAGATTGGTACAACTTTTCCATAGCAAATCAAGTATCTTACATCTTATTCTAGGACAGATCAATATTCAAAGTGTTCCCAAACGTTTTAACTAGCTCTGCTCATTTGTGTGAAAGAAGCAGTAAATTGCATCCTTTTCTTGTCTGAAATCCAGATAAGCCTTTGAGCTATTAAATCAGAATAGGATAACTTCACCTACAAAATATTTGTGCCTCTGCTTCTACCAGTGATTTCTGGTATTCTGTATCCCGGGCTGGAGCACTTGCCTTTAAGGCAGGTAGGTAGAAAGCAATCTGTTTTTATTCAAAAGCAATTACATTTGTCTTTGATGTTTTGGGGTATTTTTTCCCCGTCTTCACTGTTTAATCGGTATTCCTTTAAAGGTTTGTATTAGTATTGAATTTCTGTTCTTTGCTTTTGTAGAACCTCCTGGGAATATAGCTATCCGAGGCCCTCATTCCACGTACTTGGCAATAAACATGATGTTGTGTCTTTGAGAAAGTGGTAGAGAGGTCGTAGAGGTACTGTGGATGTCTCCGTGCTCCTCCTGCGCCTCCAAGTTCGGTATCCCTGCTTCGTGTAGAGACAAGTCTAGACGATGCATTTAGCTAAGCGTAGATCTTGCAGAGATTTGGCAACTCAGTTCAAGATGCTTCAGACTACTATAATAACTAAGGAGGTACCCCACCAGCCCTTGCAAGAGAAAAAATATGCGGCCAGAATTCAGGATTATTTGTGGCAATGGGTGACAAATGAAAAACATTGCCTATTCTTAGAGGTAACAGAAAAATGTGTTCAGTATTGATTCAACAGTAAGTTATATATGTATATGCATCAATAAATATATATATGCATATGTATGTATATCCATATATAAAGTACAGATTTGCTTCAAGCAAACTAAAAAATCTTATTATATGTTACAGAAGTTCAGCGTTCATTTTCCACTGTTCACTGCTCTTGAACTATGCCTGAGGACTGAAAATGCTTCCCTGGATATCCTGTACAATTGTTATTTCTCTCATCTTCCATATGCCCATTTATAATGGCTGCGATTAAAAATGCAGTATTGCTCGATTACCGCAGAATCTGCAACGTTCATAATAATTTTGCACACCTTTTATGAGAAAAGTGGCTGGAGTATTAGAGTATCCCAAATAAACCCTGACTCTGAGGGCAGCCAGTGTGAGCAGCCAGTGACTGTTTGAAGGCAGTAGGAATTTTGCCCAGTCTTGAAAAAAAAAAGGGACATACGGAGCTCAAGCTCTACCCGTGGAAATTTTGCAGAGCAAGACCATCAAAAATATGCTGTTGAGCACAGACTGAGCAGGACGCAGTGACCTTGAGCCGCAGGGAAGGCCCCTGTAGGGCTTCAGCGGGATGGGTAGGGCAGGAGAGGGACGGGCACTGCGGTGCGGTCCCGGCGCAGTCTGGGCTGCGCGGGCGCTGCAGGGCTGTGCAACGGAGGGTGCTGTGCCCCCAAGTTGGCTGGGTGGGGCTTTGAGCATCCCGGTGCAGTGGAAGCAACCAGCGACCACTGGTGAACGCTGTCATGAAGCTGTCATGTAAGCACACGGGTCCAGGTAGGCATTCGGCTCCTTGAATTTTGATACAGCTGTTTGTTAACAGCCTTACTTTTATTAGCTGTGCTGGTGGAGAATCGTGGATTGTTTGATTGGGGACAAGAGTATTTTAAATCTGATTTGAACATTTTTTCAGGAGCTTGTCCATCGTTTCCATCTTTACCAGGTGACTAGCTTTATATGAGCTGCATGGCAAAGATGTAGAGATAAGCAGAAGAAACTGTAATTTAGCCAGCTCTTGGTAAAAATAAATTTGGAGCAAATTATTTCATCCTGTAAGGACAGGTAACGCACGTGACACACGTCAGCCGTCTGCCGCTCTCTGTTGGCTGCTCCAGACGTGGCTGGCAGAGTGAGCAGCGATGCTGAGTTAAACCCGTCTGCCCCTCCCCATGAGAAGCCCCTGTTTGCAGTTGCGCACAGACTTCATAGACCGTGGCAGGGGGGTGGAACTGGAGGACCGTTAAGGTCCCTTCCAACCCAAACTGTTCTCTGATGGTGTGAGGTGCAGCGGGGTCCCCTCGTGGCAGCCGGGATGTGCTGAGCTGGGTGAGAGCGGGGCCACATCTCTGACCATCGGATGGCTGCAAATAGTGGCGGCCACGGCAAGGATGGAGCGTGGCCAAGTAAGGTGCGACCGACTGACTCGACAGTGACTAAGCCAAAAGGAGGTAGGGTGACCCAAGAAAACAGGAATGCGGGAAGAACGTATACTCCAACCCGCGGCACGGTGAGATACAGCTGGGCACTTAGCCTCCCGCAGAAGAAGTTTGTTTTAGCCTAAAATACAAATATCCTTCGAAAGGGGATTGTCCGAGAGCTGGAAGCATTGGCAGCAATGTGCAGACTCATTAGAGGCAGTCTGACGGGGTTTGGGTGATGGGGCTTCCCAGGCTGCGGAGCGCTCGGCGGCCTGGGTTTGCAGGAGCGTGCGCCCCGCGGTGTGCAGGTCACCTTGACGCAACCCTTGACGGGAATAGAAAAGAAATCATCAGGTATTATTAATTATAATAGGTTGTTGTTGCTGGTTAGGATTAAAATAACTTAATTGAAATAGTGTCTTACACAGTAGCACAGTGTTCTTGAAATCAGGAGCTCATTCTTGTGGAGTAAAGATCTCCGTAGTGCAAACGCGCGTGGCGCAGCCTGGCCCCTGTGCATCCTCATGTGTGCTGGATCTTGAACCGAACTGCATTTCTTTTTCCTTGTCCGAGACTTTCTGGAATACATTTTAATGCATTTTTAGTTGATCTAGCCTAAGGTCATGCAGCTGGACAATGTGCATGTGTAAATGCAGGCCCTTCCAAAAATGCAGAACAGGAGTAGCTGTGCAGGATTTTCTTTTCCGCGAGTTGTTTTGATTTAACGCGCCACTGTTTGAAAGTGTATCTTAAAAGACCGTGTTTTACTCATATTGAATAATGTTCTGCCTCTTTGAACTTTGCCTCTATGTGAAGAACACAGCCAAGTTTTAAAAATGCAGCCGCAAGCTGGAGCTGAAATTCCCCTGGTCCCTCCGGCTGCCTTAATCAGCAAAGTTCTCCCGGCGCTGCAGAAGTTGCCTTTCAAGCGCTGATAAAGCGGGACGGGTTGCACAGCTTTGCTGCCCACCGTCGCCCGCGGCTCTGTGCCTGACGGCCAACGGGGCCGGGGCTCGGCGGGGGGTTCCCCTCTGTGCAACCCCAATTACTGCCTGCCATGAGCCTGCACCGCTGGGCTCGCGGCGTCCCGGGGGTGTCCCTGGGGAGGGCCGTTTCAAAAGAAGTTCTACAGTTTCCGAAAAAAAAATTGCTCGATGAGATAGAATGAAAATGCTAAAATGTAGAAATAAAAAGGGGAATTTAATCACAAACAAAAATGTGACGGAGAAGGATTATTTTCGTCACTGCAGAAGCTTAGTTTTGCTATCACCACCACAAAACGTACCTTACGAAAGGATGTGGATGTCTTACTTAACTGAAGCGTTCTGTTCTGAAAAGGTCAATGCGAAATGCTCCGCAG